CAGGGTAGGCACACGTTGATCCGCCCATTGTGGCGCGCGTGCAGCCCCGGACATCTAAGGGCATCACAGACCTGTTATTGCTCAGTCTCGCGTGGCTGAACGCCACTTGTCCCTCTAAGAAGTTGCAGACGCTGACCGCGCGGGGCCGCGTAACTAGTTAGCATGCCAGAGTCTCGTTCGTTATCGGAATCAACCAGACAAATCACTCCACCAACCACGAACGGCCATGCACCACCACCCACAGAATCGAGAAAGAGCTATCAATCTGTCAATCCTTTCCGTGTCCGGGCCGGGTGAGGTTCCCCGTGTTGAGTCAAATTAAGCCGCAGGCTCCACTCCTGGTGGTGCCCTTCCGTCAATTCCTTTAAGTTTCAGCTTTGCAACCATACTCCCCCCAGAGCCCAGAGACTCGTGGTTTCCCACACGCTGCCCGGCGGGTCATTGTGGTAGTAACGCCGCCGGATCGCGGGTCGGCATCGTTTACGGTCGGAACTACGACGGTATCTGATCGTCTTCGAACCTCCGACTTTCGTTCTTGATTAATGAAAACGTTCTTGGCAAACGCTTTCGCTCCAGTCCGTCTTGCGCCGGTCCAAGAATTTCACCTCTAGCGGCGCAATACGAATGCCCCCGGCCGTCCCTCTCAATCATGGCCCCGGGTTCCGGAAACCCACAGAAAATAGAACCGGGGTCCTATTCCATTATTCCTAGCTGGGGTATTCATAAGGGCGCAGTCGGCCCTGCCTTGAACACTCTAATTTTTTCAAAGTAAACGCTCCGGGCCCCAAGCCGAGGACACCCAGTCAAGGGCATCCGGGGGGCGCCGGGAGGCCTGGGGGTCCGGGACCGGCGGTGGCTCGCCTCACGGCGGACCGCGCGGCCCGGTCCCCGAGATCCAACTACGAGCTTTTTAACTGCAGCAACGTTAGCATACGCTATTGGAGCTGGAATTACCGCGGCTGCTGGCACCAGACTTGCCCTCCAATGGGTCCTCGCCCATGGGTTTAGGATACGCTCATTCCAATTACAGGGCCTCGAAGGAGACCTGCATTGTTATTTTTCGTCACTACCTCTCCGTGTCGGAAATGGGTAATTTGCGCGCCTGCTGCCTTCCTTGGATGTGGTAGCCGTTTCTCAGGCTCCCTCTCCGGAATCGAACCCTGATTCCCCGTCACCCGTGGTCACCATGGTAGGCGACGGACCTACCATCGAAAGTTGATAGGGCAGACATTCGAATGAACCGTCGCCGCCGCGAGGGCGTGCGATCGGCCCGAGGTTATCTAGAGTCACCAAAGCGAGGCCGGGGGCGGACGGCGGCGGGTAGGCGCGAAGCCCCCCTCTCCACCGCCCGCGCACCCGCATGGGTTTTGGATCTGATAAATGCACGCGTCCCCAGGGACCCACCCCACCCCGCCACATAGGGGGAGAAGGGCGGCCCAGGTCGGCGCTCGTTGGCATGTATTAGCTCTGGAATTGCCACAGTTATCCAAGTAACCGGGAGGAGCGATCAAAGGAACCATAACTGATTTAATGAGCCATTCGCAGTTTCACTGTACCGTCCGTGTGCACTTAGACTTGCATGGCTTAATCTTTGAGACAAGCATATATTACTGGCAGGATCAACCAGGTAGCCCCTCACACATCAGGTAAAATGCCAGAGGGAGAGGGGGGGAGAGGCGGCGGTTACCCACTGCCTACCCGCCACCCATCCGGCCTTCACGCAGAAGGGGGGTTGGGGTATGCCGCGAACGGGCATGGCTTCTAATCGAGGCCATCACCAGGAAGGTTCGTGCTTCGTAACGGGAACAACTGCGCCAGAGATGCCGCGCACACCTACCCGGCACACCAATCCTACCCCGCCGCCAGCCAACACGCCCGGGGTCCAGCCCGGGAGGGTGGGGAGGACAGGGAGGGATGCTGCCCGGTTAAGGCGCACGCACAACACCAACTTACGCACCTATTCCCGTCAATGTAGGACATTCCGAGGCAGACGGGCCATCTGAGTCTATTTCACCCAATAAGCTAGGGTCGAGGACCGGGTGAAGACCCACCTCGCCCTCCTTTCGAATGCCCAAATCGGGGAGGATCTCACCCCACCCACAGCGGTCCCCTTTGTCAGATGACCGGGCGAGGGGCCTGCCCCTGGGGCATCGCGCACATTTCCCATCGGTCATGTGGTGGAAGGCGGTGGCACGTAGTTACGCGCTCAAAACCTAAGTCCGCTAAATCACGCCTTCCCCGAAACCTCGACGGCAGGTCAGCGATAACCAGCTACGGTTACCCGGACGTCCGGCAGGGAAAGGCCCGAGAGGTCACACCCTGCCCGGCTTGAGGCCAGAGCTCGAGGGTCATGGATGTCGGAGTGGACTGGTGATTTAAGGCTTCTCGCTTTCAGAAACGGTACCGATGGTTACCCACAACTAACTTTGCAATGAAACTGTGCTGCTGGTCACCCAAAAATAACTTTGTCTCTCAGATTGGTGCTGCTGGTTACCCACAACTGACATTGTGCTTGGCTTGACTGACTGGCCTGGCTGGCTGGCTGGCTGGCTGACTGGGGGTGGGCTGGCTTGGCTGGCCTGGGCTGGTTGGGTTGGCCTGGGCTGGCTTGGCTGGCCTGGGCTGGCTGGCTGGCTGGCTGGGCTGGGCTGGGCTGGCCTGGCCTGGCTGGCTGGCTGGCTGACTGGGGGTGGGCTTGGCTGGCCTGGGCTGGCTGGCTGGCTGGCTGACTGGGGGTGGGCTGGGCTGGGCTTGGCTGGCCTGGCCTGGCCTGGCTGGCTGGCTGGCTGGCTGACTGGGGGTGGGCTGGCTTGGCTGGCCTGGGCTGGGCTGGGCTGGGCTGGGCTGGGCTGGCCTGGCCTGGCTGGCTGGCTGGCTGGCTGGCTGGCTGACTGGGGCTGGGCTGGGCTGGGCTGGGCTGGCCTGGCCTGGCCTGGCCTGGCCTGGCTGGCTGGCTGGCTGGCTGGCTGGCTGACTGGGGGTGGGCTTGGCTGGCCTGGGCTGGCTGGCTGGCTGGCTGGCTGGCTGGCTGACTGGGGGTGGGCTGGGCTTGGCTGGCCTGGCCTGGCCTGGCCTGGCCTGGCCTGGCCTGGCCTGGCCTGGCTGGCTGGCTGGCTGACTGGGGTGGGCTGGGCTGGGCTGGCCTGGCCTGGCCTGGCTGGCTGGCTGGCTGGCTGGCTGGCTGACTGGGGGTGGGCTTGGCTGGCCTGGGCTGGCTGGCTGGCTGGCTGGCTGACTGGGGGTGGGCTGGGCTTGGCTGGCCTGGCCTGGCCTGGCTGGCTGGCTGGCTGACTGGGGGTGGGCTGGGCTGGGCTGGGCTGGGCTGGGCTGGGCTTGGCTGGCCTGGCCTGGCCTGGCCTGGCCTGGCTGGCTGGCTGGCTGACTGGGGGTGGGCTTGGCTGGCTGGCTGGCTGGCTGGCTGGCTGACTGGGGGTGGGCTTGGCTGGCTGGCTGGCTGGCTGGCTGGCTGACTGGGGGTGGGCTGGGCTTGGCTGGCCTGGCCTGGCCTGGCTGGCTGGCTGGCTGACTGGGGGTGGGCTGGGCTGGGCTGGGCTGGCCTGGCCTGGCCTGGCCTGGCCTGGCCTGGCTGGCTGGCTGGCTGGCTGGCTGGCTGACTGGGGGTGGGCTTGGCTGGCTGGCTGGCTGGCTGGCTGGCTGACTGGGGGTGGGCTTGGCTGGCCTGGGCTGGCTGGCTGGCTGGCTGGCTGACTGGGGGTGGGCTGGGCTTGGCTGGCCTGGCTGGCTGACTGAGGGTGGGCTGGGCTGGGCTGGGCTGGGCTGGGCTGGGCTGGGCTTGGCTGGCCTGGCCTGGCCTGGCCTGGCCTGGCTGGCTGGCTGGCTGGCTGACTGGGGGTGGGCTTGGCTGGCCTGGGCTGGCTGGCTGGCTGGCTGGCTGACTGGGGGTGGGCTGGGCTTGGCTGGCCTGGCCTGGCCTGGCCTGGCCTGGCTGGCTGGCTGGCTGACTGGGGGTGGGCTTGGCTGGCTGGCTGGCTGGCTGGCTGACTGGGGGTGGGCTGGGCTTGGCTGGCCTGGCCTGGCCTGGCTGGCTGGCTGGCTGGCTGACTGGGGGTGGGCTTGGCTGGCCTGGGCTGGCTGGCTGGCTGGCTGGCTGACTGGGGGTGGGCTTGGCTGGCCTGGGCTGGCTGGCTGGCTGGCTGGCTGACTGGGGGTGGGCTGGGCTTGGCTGGCCTGGCCTGGCCTGGCCTGGCTGGCTGGCTGGCTGACTGGGGGTGGGCTGGGCTGGGCTGGGCTGGCCTGGCCTGCCCTGGCTGGCTGGCTGGCTGGCTGGCTGGCTGACTGGGGGTGGGCTTGGCTGGCCTGGGCTGGCTGGCTGGCTGGCTGGCTGACTGGGGGTGGGCTGGGCTGGCCTGGGCTGGCTGGCTGGCTGGCTGGCTGACTGGGGGTGGGCTTGGCTGGCCTGGGCTGGCTGGCTGGCTGGCTGGCTGACTGGGGCTGGGCTTGGCTGGCCTGGCCTGGCCTGGCTGGCTGGCTGGCTGACTGAGGGTGGGCTGGGCTGGGCTGGGCTGGGCTTGGCTGGCCTGGCCTGGCCTGGCCTGGCTGGCTGGCTGGCTGGCTGACTGGGGGTGGGCTTGGCTGGCTGGCTGGCTGGCTGACTGGGGGTGGGCTTGGCTGGCCTGGGCTGGCTGGCTGGCTGGCTGACTGGGGGTGGGCTGGGCTGGGCTTGGCTGGCCTGGCCTGGCCTGGCTGGCTGGCTGACTGGGGGTGGGCTGGGCTGGGCTTGGCTGGCCTGGCCTGGCTGGCTGGCTGGCTGGCTGGCTGGCTGACTGGGGGTGGGCTTGGCTGGACTTGGCTGGCTGGCTGGCTGGCCGGCCTGGGCTTGCCTGACCTGGCCTGGCCTGGCTGGATTGGGGGTGGCTGGCTGGCTGGCTGGCTGGCTGGCCGGCCTGGGCTTGCCTGACCTGGCCTGGCCTGGCTGGATTGGGGGTGGCTGGCTGGCTGGCTGGCTGGCCGGCCTGGGCTTGCCTGACCTGGCCTGGCCTGGCTGGCTGGCTGGCTGGCTGGCCGGCCTGGGCTTGCCTGACCTGGCCTGGCCTGGCTGGGCTGGGGGTGGCTGGCTGGCTGGCTGGCTGGCCGGCCTGGGCTTGCCTGACCTGGCCTGGCCTGGCTGGGCTGGGGGTGGCTGGCTGGCTGGCTGGCTGGCCGGCCTGGGCTTGCCTGACCTGACCTGGCCTGGCTGGATTGGGGGTGGCTGGCTGGCTGGCTGGCTGGCTGGCCGGCCTGGGCTTGAAGCCGGGAGACATGGGCCGGCCTACGACCCCACCACATGGAACCCGTTCACCAGCCGTGCCCGGGCACCCCACTATTAAGCCCGGGGACACTGACTTTGTTAAAATGCACTTGACAGACTCACGTGCTGCTGGTGACCCATTTCAGTAATGCGTGCCGCTGGTGGCCCTCTTGGCCTTTACTATTTGGATTTGAGGGCTGCGTGCCGCTGGTGACCCAATCGAGTATTGTTTGACGCTGGTTGCCCACCTCGCCTTTACTATTTGGATTTGGGGGCTGCGTGCCGCTGGTGACCCAATCGAGTATTGTTTGACGCTGGTTGCCCACCTTGCCTTTACTATTTGGATTTGGGGGCTGCGTGCCGCTGGTGACCCAATCGAGTATTGTGTGACGCTAGTGGCCCAATTGAGTATTGCGTGCTGCTGGTGGCCCAATTGAGTATTGTGTGCTGCTGGTGACCCACCTGGCTGTCACTACTGGAGTTTGGCCGGCCGCCGTTGGTGCTCTTACCGCCTTTATTCTCTTGGTAGACGGCTTGCGGGGCGCAGCCACAACGCCGCTATTGAAGCACCAGAACTTGCACTTCACCGAGCCACGGGGCAATGCACACCCAGGGGAAAGTGTGCAAGCCAGGGCAGGGATTGGCAGACATGTCCCGGTGATCTATAGCCACGGAGTTGACCGGTCACCACCAACCCACACTCAATCTATGCAGCACCATGCCCAAAACGGACGACCAGAGCCGGCTTGCGGGGCCCAGCCACAACGTCGCTATTGAAGCACCAGAACTTCCACTTCACCGAGCCACGGGGCTATGCATACCCGGGGGAAAGTGTGCAAGCCAGGGCAGGGATTGGCAGACATGTCCCGATGATCTATAGCCACGGAGTTGACCGGACACCACCAACCCACACTCAATCTATGCAGCACCATGCCCAAAACGGACGACCAGAGCCGGCTTGCGGGGCCCAGCCACAACGTCGCTATTGAAGCACCAGAACTTCCACTTCACCGAGCCACGGGGCTATGCATACCCGGGGGAAAGTGTGCAAGCCAGGGCAGGGATTGGCAGACATGTCCCGATGATCTATAGCCACGGAGTTGACCGGACACCACCAACCCACACTCAATCTATGCAGCACCATGCCCAAAACGGACGACCAGAGCCGGCTTGCGGGGCCCAGCCACAACGTCGCTATTGAAGCACCAGAACTTCCACTTCACCGAGCCACGGGGCTATGCATACCCGGGGGAAAGTGTGCAAGCCAGGGCAGGGATTGGCAGACATGTCCCGATGATCTATAGCCACGGAGTTGACCGGACACCACCAACCCACACTCAATCTATGCAGCACCATGCCCAAAACGGACGACCAGAGCCGGCTTGCGGGGCCCAGCCACAACGTCGCTATTGAAGCACCAGAACTTCCACTTCACCGAGCCACGGGGCTATGCATACCCGGGGGAAAGTGTGCAAGCCAGGGCAGGGATTGGCAGACATGTCCCGATGATCTATAGCCACGGAGTTGACCGGTCACCACCAACCCACACTCAATCTATGCAGCACCATGCCCAAAACGGACGACCAGAGCCGGCTTGCGGGGCCCAGCCACAACGTCGCTATTGAAGCACCAGAACTTCCACTTCACCGAGCCACGGGGCTATGCATACCCGGGGGAAAGTGTGCAAGCCAGGGCAGGGATTGGCAGACATGTCCCGGTGATCTATAGCCACGGAGTTGACCGGTCACCACCAACCCACACTCAATCTATGCAGCACCATGCCCAAAACGGACGACCAGAGCCGGCTTGCGGGGCCCAGCCACAACGTCGCTATTGAAGCACCAGAACTTCCACTTCACCGAGCCACGGGGCTATGCATACCCGGGGGAAAGTGTGCAAGCCAGGGCAGGGATTGGCAGACATGTCCCGATGATCTATAGCCACGGAGTTGACCGGACACCACCAACCCACACTCAATCTATGCACCATGCCCAAAACGGACGACCGGAGCCGGCTTGCGGGGCGCAGGCGCTACCCTGGAGATCTAAAATGTGTATCGCTCAAAACCTAAGTCCACTAAATCACGCCTTCCCTGAAACCTTGACGGCAGGTCAGCGATAACCAGTTACGGCAGCCCGTACCTCCGGCAGAGAAAGGCCCGAGAGGTCACACCCTGTCCGGCTTGAGGCCAGAGCTTGAGGGTCATGGATGTCAGAGTGGACCGGTGATTTAAGGCTTCTCGCTTTCTGAAA